ATCGTTATTCGTATCTCGCCAACGTAACTGATTCGTTAAATCAGCCACGAGCCGGCGGTGACTTCCAGACGACACGGGCGTAATTCGATACCCGTCGCCGTCCGACGGAACTCTCGACCGAAATTGCTCCGTTCGGAGCGCGAATCGTCGCCGGGCCGAAGGGGATCCGCGTCGGTGATAAGTCAGACGTTCCGCCGGCGAGGCCCGCGGTTCGTCGGATTCACGGATTCAGCGGGTTTCTCGGTTGATTTACAATTTATTCTTCGCGGCCCTCCCTCGGAGAACCGTTCCGCCCTCTTTTTCTCTTTATTACGCGATCTATATTCACCTGACGAGGCTCTCCGTTCAATTCCCCGTCTCCCGAGATGCCTGGTTGCTCGCAGATTTCGGTTCCGCGCTGTCTCGCCGGAGCGGAAGACGTTTCGCGTTCTCTTTGACCAAGGGAACCGTTTCGAGCGGAGCCGAAAGTTGGAGAGGAGGAGGCTGGGAAGCTCGCGAGGAAGACGGGAAGAGCCGCCGATACAATAATCGCCCTCGGAAGAATTTCCTCGGTGTCGAGGGTGGCTGCGGCAAGAAAACTCGAGAGGAAAGACAGAAGGAGAGGCTCCATTGAAGCGGCAGAAACATTAACGCGGCGAGACAGCCGGCCAAAAGAAAACCATTAACTACTTCTACAAGATGGAAGAAAAACAGAAACGCTCGCGAGGGGAGGGGGCGAAGAAAGCCCTGCTTCCCGGCGCTCCTCTCGCGGCGTTCAGCCGCGTATCTCTTTTTCAGCCCCGCCAAGACACGCCGTTTCCATTACAAGACCGATAGTTCTCGCTCGCCGTGCCCGCCGCAACGTTCGCCATTACGGTATCCGTTCTCCGCGCTCGTCGCAAAACGGAGCGAACGGGAATTTGGATTCCGGCAGCGCGCGGGCGAAAGCTATTCAGCGACGTCCGAGACTCGAACGCGAATCGCGAACGAAAGCCACGATCTCTGGAACGCGGGCGCCGTCTCCCGGAAGAAACCGAACACTTCGGATGAAATATCAGCTGTCGAATAGAAAGGAAACCCATAAAGCTTCTAAATTGCGAAGTTCCCGAGCTCGAGGCGGAGCCTGATCTACCGTGTTATTGAAATATTAACAGGAACTCGGGAGGGTTCTTACCGGAGATGGTACTTACTCGCGAGAAAGTCGACGGGTTGCATTCACTTAGGATCATCGTAAAATCCAGCGTTAACGGTAAAGCCAACTAAGCTTCAGAGTTACCGCCTAATCTCGCTGGCAGTGGCACCGCTCCGCGGAATATCAGAGTACCCATAATCGGGCGGCTTCCGTCGCTTTTCAGAGCCGCCCCCGAGCCTCGTCCGTCCGCCTCCTTAATTTCCGGGTTCCGCCTAATATCAAGGTTCCCGGCGACACTTCGGGCGTTCGCGCGGCTGTTCGAGAGGGAAGAGCGCGTTCGATGTTCCTTCGGAAGAAGGAGCCAGCCGCGGAACTTCGCTGGAACCCGGTTAAAAGCTCCGTCGCCGTTACCATTACGGGAAGAGGCCGCGTCTTTGACGGCCGCTGAAAGCGCGGAGGCGGTTCGCGAATGCCGGCGAAACCGCAGCCCGAAAAGGCGTTCCGACGCGTAAACGCGGCCCGTTCGCGGGGAAAGCCCGGCCCGCTGCAGCGTGATATCCCGGGGCGAGGGTGCAAAGCCGGTCCGCGAGCGGAGGCTCGGCTAGACTCGATCGTCGAGGCCGCGGCGGCGTTCTCTTCGCGGAAACTTTGCGATGGTTTCCCGCTCCGGCGGCCTTGAGCTCTCCGGGAACGCCGCATAGACGCGGCAGACGCCTGCCTGCCTGCCTGGCGATTTGCCTGCCGCGTTGGGTCGTTAGAAAATCCTCCACGGATCGATTCCCTTTGGCCGGCGTCAAAGGGCTCCAGGAGGGATGGATGGTGGTGCGCGCATCAGCCCGGCCAGGCCGGCGGCCGAGCAAACGGAGGCGGCCGGAGGAGGCTGGCCAGGGCGGGGAGGGCAGGGTAACCGGCCGCAAAAACCTAACGAGATGAAAGGAGAGCGCGAAAGACGGGCCGAGGCATGAACGAGGTGGAATACATAAATAGAAATCTCGGTTTATCTCTCTCCATCGGCCCGTGCTTCCAGCTTCTCTTTCTTCCCCCTGGTCCGCGGCCCCCTCGCCTCGTCTCTCTCCCACGTTCTGCCCGCTGGTTCCCGGCTCGCTCC